TGTCCATAAATCTTTTAGCTTATTCACCAACGTCAGTAAGTATACATCGATTAAGCTACCAGGATCCTCAATTATCAATAGTCATCATCATGTATTCGTTTTTCATACATTTCCATGGTGACAAATTATACAGAAATACAAAAATCGGCCAAGTACTGTGGTGTTGGTTTAAGACCCCAAACGGATTAAATCCGTCAGTGGCAAGTCCCAATCTAACGTTACTAGAATCAGCAGCAAACTCAAGGAATGTTCGATCAAACTCTTTCCATGCCTCCCCATCAACAGGATGCCGCATCACATCGTCGTCTACCCATTTTTCCTTATGCCATCTCATGTCTGTGGCAGTATGCGTCAACATATACAGTCGCTGCAACCTAAGTTTCAGGGGCAAATAACGCATAACTTTTTGTGGGATCTTAGTTGTTCTATTCTGAAATGTCATTTTGAACATTGACTCATTGCATACAGGGCATTTAACCAATGCTTTATTCTCTTTGTAGAATAAAATACAATTGTTTTTGCAAGCGTAAATTTTTTCATAACCCAATCCAAGACCATTCAACACCTTTTGCATGTGTCTATGGTCTTTCAGCAAACAATTGTTATTTGGAAGCATTCTCTTGAAAACCCCCAAAAAGTAATCGAAACACTGGTTCAACATACGATACTTTATTTTTCCATACATTAGTTCCACAATGGCCGTGAGAACGGAAAAGCTCTTGCACCCAGGGTATAACTCTTGGTTGGCATTTTTTTAATAGTTTTTTATATTGTTCGAACTCTGCACTATCTATTAGTGTAGGCTCGTCATCTTCCCCTTCCTGATTGGTGTTTGTCGATGCAAATGGAAAAGCATCATTTATAATATCCACTTGTTCATTAGGATCCACAATAGGTTCAACATTATCCATTCTTATGGCGTTTGAAGATGAAGCATTGTCTAATTTTTTCCCATGAAGGTTTCAAGTATTATATGTATCAATCATTCCATTCCTTACTAAATGAAATTGAACATTTTCAATTGTCTCCCTTAACGTGTTGTTACACCTCCTACAAGGACACCAGATTGTAGTTGCACTCAGGTTGTGTGTACGTGCAAAATCAATAAAATCCTCGATTCCATCCAAGTATTCATCCACGCATCTATTCGAGTTATGTATCCACGTCCTGTCCATAATTCCTGGAACCACAATAACAATACAACAACTTCATACAAAATGATAATGTCACCTTATGCCTCCGGTAAGGCCCTATCCTATTCGGGAATGCATAGTCATGTCACGTAATTTACGGCTACATCAGATTAGATTTCGATGTGGATGAATTTCGGCAGCATCTCGATACAGTTCTTCAGGTGTACAACCCGAAGAACGTACAGAGATGACACTGAAATCTCCACAATCGAAACCTAATCCTTCAACCATAAACTACGCGTCATAATTGTGTATTCACAAACTATCCAAATAATGGGACAATTCAAGAATTAATTGGACCGCAGTCATGCTTTTGCATCCATGCACGAAATCCAACTAATCCTCGAATGGGAAACTAAGTTTTACTAAAAATAAAAACAAGTACGAAGTTAATTTCAATTAACTCCGTACATCACAACACATATTTGTACGTCACGTACAAATTTAACAACATAATATAAATATAATTTCACAACACAATATAAACAATACAAGCTAAGTTCAACATAATTTAATTAGTTTCATATGTTTAAAAAATAAAACAAAGAAAATACCTTCTCAATCGGTCTCCACCATTCGCTAATCACACATAATATCCCTGTAGACAATGAAATTAATGACGTTAGTATGAATTTACATTAATACTTTTACCGTAACGACAAAAAACGCTTATCAGACACATCGAGATAGCTCGATCAACCAAAAGAAGAAAATGGAGGGAGTATTACATGATGAAATTGAGAGAAAATGAAAATGACAGATGACTGATTGAGCAAAATCGAAAGGATGAGTGCAGAGGCATAATCTGCAAATATTTTTTTGCAGTTTGCCTCTACACATTACTGAATCCAGATTTAAAAGTTCACTTTTGGACGAACTATTTTGCGCGACGAAATAGGTATTCGTCGTGCAAATGTCATTTGCTTTCATCGCACAAGTTTACCATTTATTTATTTTATGTCCTTTACTTTACAATTTATTCTTTTCAACACATTGTGCGACGAATGAATGTATCGTCGCGCAATGCATATTTTTTAATTTTTTTTCTATTTTTTTTATTTCTATATATTGTAAAATTTTATTTTATCATAAAAAAAACTCAAACCTAATTAAACATTAAATTAATTAACAAAACTAGTTTACTATCCCAAATAGAAATTATAATTAATGCAAATATTAATACTCATCCACATAACATATATTTATTCATTAAATTAAATATAAAGTCCACAAAATCCTTTTTTTTTTTAAAAAAAAAAAAGCAACCTTCATCAACTTTAATCCTCCGCCCGCAACACATCAAACTTCCACTGCCGAAAACTCTGCTTGAAAAGCCCATCCACATAAATTTGTTGCTTCTCATCGGTTTCATCAACATCCCAATGAACCTACATTAATGCCAGTAACAACAAATTAGTAATTTAAAAAATATTACGTTTTAACAAAAATAATTGTTCATTATTTACCAAACCTACCGATAACTCTCCCAGCATGGACTTTTTCAAGTCCTCAGGAACTTTTTTCCAAGACTCAAACTCGGCAGAACAATCCCTCTGCACCAAATTCTCAATGTCATACTTAAATTCGGCGTATGCCTAATCCAAAAGTTTGCCTTCAAAGTACGGCACTTGTTTCCGTCGATACCTCTCTATTTGCACTACAAGTTTTTTTTTTTGCCAGAACCTTCTCCAGAATCGACCATTATTTTTTAAACAATTGTTTTTTGAAAACTAGGGCTCTAAAACTATGTTTATATAGCACTAGGACACCTTTTTGCGACGAAAATATTCGTTGCGCAAATTATAAGTTCGTCGCACAAAATACGTCATTACTGTGCAATTAAGTGGAAGGTTTGAACGCATGTTGACCATGCTTTGCGCGGCAATTACATGTATTCGTCGCGCAAAGATCCCTTACGCGACGAAGTTTTTGTCGCTTAGAATATTGCGCGACGAATAAAATATTAATTATTTTTAGAATAAATATTTAAGGTATTATATTTATTACCTTAAATATTTATTCTAAAAATAATTAATACTTTCAATATTTATTCTATAAATAATTAATACTTGAAATATTATTCTATAAATAATTAATGCCTTAAATATTTAGTCTATATATAATTAATTACTTAATCCATGCAATTATTTTCAGCATAAGTACGATATTCATTGAAGATTGTAAACACATATAAACCGAGGATAGAGTGCTTACATTAGGTTTCAATAAAAAAAACCAACATGAATTGAAACATAATTAAGTCCAAATACATAATTGAAACATAATTAAGTCCGAATACGTAACATAAAAAAAACACCTTAAATTTAAATATTGTCATACAAAACATAAATTTAAAACTACTATTTGGATGATACTGGTCCATTCTGCAAGACTTAATAACGCCATCGGTTGTCACCTCCCTCCAACGCATTATCCATCAACTTCATCAATTGTTCGTTCGTATCATCATCAAGAGTATACTTAAATTGTTACACATATATGCAAATAATTAATTTCAACATAAAACAAAAATTTCACAAGCTTAATTATTAATCCATCAAGAATAATATACTCACTAATACATCATCCATCACAGCCTTCTTCACATTCCCAGGTACATCTTCCCAAGAACGCCACTCAGCAGTGGGACAATTATTTCCCATGGCTACAGCGATCGCATGCGCAAACTCAAAATGATCCCTTAAATCAGGCGGGTTGGCATCACGTATAGTCTCACCCTTGTTCTTATCCGCCATCCTAGCACGAACAGAATTTTGAAGAATAAGGATAATAGAATTATGAAGAATCAGGATAGCAGAAACGGATATTTATAGGTGGGTTAGGACCTTTGAGCGACGAATTCTTTGTCGCGCAAACACCTGTATTAAATTCGGTATTAATTCCTCGGATTCACCTGCAGTAAATGGTCAAAACTGAAAGGAACTTGCTTGACGAATTATTGGTCGCGCAAATTCTCCATTTCGTCGCTCAAGTTTTTCGCGCCGCCCCGCGTTTTCTTGCTCACTTTACGTGACGCCAGAGATTATTCATCGCATGAAGTGTTCTTGAGCGAAAAAAATCTTCGTCGCACAATGAGATTATTCGTCATGCTATTTTGTGCGACGAAGTTTATTTTTCGTCGCTCATGTACATCTTGCGCGACAAAATATTGTTCGTCGCGCAAGCTGTTTTTTTCTACTAGTGATTCTCAGTTCCTCATTTCATACTAGCAATCGAACATTACCATTATTCTCATTTCGAAGCCTAATAAACACGTAAAGCTCGATAAGATGCCACTTGCATGCAAACCGAGATACACATCCCCCGACGTTCATCTTGCATTGCTTAGATGTTTCATGTATTTGCAGACTAATCGTTGGTTGTATACATTTTTTATTGGGTGACAGTAATAATGTATAAGTAAACTGAAGTTTTGCACGTTCTATTAATCAAATGCCAAGATGAATGAATTGTAGATACAAACAAGCGAAAAAATTACGATACTCTAAGAAGAGTATTAAATAGTCCGCCATTTATATCAACTTCAACGACCATAGCATCGCCCAGTAACATCACAAGAGAGATACTTTTAATGTTTTTTTTTTTTTTTTTGTTTGGGTTTTTTGGGCCGGGGGCCCCGTGGTTTGGGGGGGGGGGGAGGGGTGCAGAGTTATAATCTTGAAGTTGCATGGATGTATAATTTGAACGAAACCCTAAAATCAACGAGGGGAAGATAGAGACCAATCATCTGTTTGAATAGGAGAACAAGACAAAGCAGTATGGGGCAAACCATTAATGCTATGTACATGGTAAAATGTCAAAGATCTTTCATCGAATCATTCTTCAATGCTGTCTTTGTGTATGCAAGAGAGAGAGAGAGAGAGAGGGTAAGTAATCTCATTTCAATAAATTAGCCAGATAGGTAAGCTACAGCATTAAATGTTCTTTAGCCAAACCTAATTACTTCCTAGCTAGAGAAAAGGGAAAATCATCAGGAGTTGTTGTATCTGTTATTGGTCGTCTTAAGCTCTGTTCTTCTTCTACTTGCAAATACTTCTCCATGTCTCATTAACCAGAACCTCTCTATTTCTTCCGCTTTCCGGCCTGGAAGCCTCCCAGCTATAAGAGCCCACCTGAGCTATATACAAGTCTAGTTAGAACTCTGCAGAACACTTATATATTTTTCCACTAGTTAAGACCAAAATAAGAGAACAATCAATGTATGATTCTTGCACAATCATTTGTGGATAAGTATATGATTCTTGCACTTGCACATTGTAATAGTACGAGAATTATATATTCATGGTTCTTAATCTCTATGTTCATGTCACTACTCTAAAAATCCCCGCCTAAACCCCGTTTAAGCGCTAGGCAGCTGACCACCACCCGATTAATGCTTAGGTGTTTGAAAATTAAGAAATGGCACCTAGACTTGTTAAGGCGCCCGCCTAGCCTGCCCAAACCTGTTTAGGCACCCATCTAGGTTGCGACTCACTTAGACAAAAAATAAATAACTTCATTTTGCATTTTATTGTTTTCAATAAATTGTAAGAGACTTGTTGAATACTTAAATGAACACATATTATATGTTTGTTCCCCATGCTTTCATTATGTTCCAATACTTTATAATATATATGTCATTCTATTTTGTAGTTTTTGATGTAATTATATACATTTTAAGGATAAAGAGACATTTGTTTACATGAAATATAATATATTTACTTAAATCTGTCTAGTCCGCCCAGGCGCTAGACCCCATCCCGCCACCGACTAGCGCCTAGCGTCTTTTAAAACCTTGTTCATGTAAAATGGTCCAAAGGTACTTATGTCCCCTTTATTGGAAGAAACTCAAAGTTTGAATATTCTCTCTCCAATAAAAAAAGAAGTTACACAAAAATATTTTGAAATTGCTATTAAATCCATTGCTTTCAGTGTTCTTTCGAACGATCTAAGTATACATGGATTCTCTGAAGGATAGGGGAGAGCCAACTTAGGCTTGGAGGGGCACGTGCCTCTTCTGACCTGCGGTTATTTTCCACTCTCTTAGTTAAATTGGTGGTCGCGTAGTCAATCAACCATGTTAGTCCTCTCTAACTCTAGGATGGAGAGAGATCATCCCCTAACCAAGGTTTCTCCCTCCACCCAAAGTTCTTCTGCAAAATCTGCGAAAGAGTAGGGTTCTAACTTCTAAAGCATTTTCCTTAGCATTATGGATATAAGAGAACGAATTTTTACCTTTTATCAACTAGAAAGTATGTTCGAACTGATGACCTCTTAATATTGATGAAAAAGTCACTAGACGAATAAAACTATTAAATGGTGAAAAAAAACATTGAACTAGGAATTTTTTTCCCTCCTCTTTCCATTCCCTCATCTCACATTCTTTATTTTGTTTTTCTTTTTCTATAAAAAATTTTAATATAAAATATTAACGTGATTTACCCATGAACATTCAAATAGAAGGGGATGAAAGAGGAGGAAAAAACAAGATTGGGAAATAATCATAATCCAAAAACATTAACTATGGTGGGGTGGTTGCGGTGGAAGTACTTTGGTTTTAAAAATTCTTTGCCATTATCACCAAACCATGGGACATAACTTTTGCCAAAAATACTTAAATAACAATCGCAATCACATGATCAAGAACTATAGTGACAGCATTTCAACAACTAAAATGATCTGCTTCTCATATATTTTTTTGCCTAAAAAGGAAAAATAAACCCAGACTTCATAAAGGTGAAACTGAGAAAGAAGATAATTTGGCACATTCGTAATTACCTGTCTCCGACGAGCTTATACATTCTGCAAATGAGATCTTCTTCTTGTTCAGTCATGTTTATGAACTCCCACTCAATACTGCTCACCTCTGCAAATTACATGCAACAAACAGATACAGAGACTTTATATATTGGAAATAACCAATAATGTATGAAAAACAATGGTGTATCATGTTAAAAAAATAAGTGGAAAAGATCAAAGAAATTAAGCCTAACTTTGCTTCTTTTTTACTTTTCCTTTTTTTAAAAAAGAAAGAAAATGAACCAAAAGAAGAGTGAAATTTGAGCAAAAAGAAGAAATGAAGAAAACCCATTAAAGATTGAACAAAAAGATGAGAACCCAGAAAGTTATTTTTGTGAAAGCGAAAGAGTTGGTGGGTTTGCCTTCAGAGCAAGAAGTGCTAGTCTTGGCTTGTTTTCTGCGGCGTCTGTCCATGCCTTCTTTCTTCTCTTTTCTTTTCAAAAAGTTGGTGGTAGTGAATTTGAGAGAATTTTAGACCGAACAGAGGGAGAGAAAACCCAAGTAAAGTTTGATGAGGGACAAAACTAACAAGAATAATTGGATTTAAATAGTTTCCCAAGAGGGATTTCAGGAAAAACAGATTGCTGGGGTTTTAAGGAGCTTATTTTTCAAAAACATGTTTCTTTAGAGAAGAGCTTGAATGCTTTGGAGAAGAAACCAATGGAAATATGGAATGGCAGGTCCTACCGAACAAACAAAATATAATTCTGTTGACTTGTAGTTGTCCCTGTAGTCTGTAGACAAGAGTTTAAAAGGTCAAAGGGTTGTTGAATCCGCTCTTGTTAAATTTACGTGAATACCCTTTAAATTGTAGGTGTAAATTTTTATTTTCTTGTGGTATTTGGGGCTTATCCGTATTTGCCAAAGGGCTTTCTGATGGGTAATACTTATACGAGGTGACGTGTCACGCTCCCAAGCTAACTAGTGCTGCATAATTCCCTAGGGTGAAACATGAGTGGCCATATAATTGGAAAATAATCACCATTAACTAATTAACTGATAAGATGTTACTCCTTCAGGTATTAGTTAGTACTCTAAATATCATTAATTAACACGTAATTCGATGCGGTTCTTGATTAGCACCATATCTAGTTAATCAGCTACTAAACAGTGAAGCTGTCTTGACAACTAGTTATTGAAATTGACTGGCACACAAAATACCTATAATCACAAGGGGTGTGATATCTACACATCTCTTTTTACTTCTTACACACCGTTTTAATTTTCGGTCATCGGATCGGATGAATTGAAAAAGGTCAAGGGACAAAAATCAACAAGAGGTGTGTGAGAAGTAAAAAAGAGTGTGTGGATAGCACACCCCTAAGCACAAATAGACTACTTGCTAGAAAAGCAATATGTGCTCCCTGGGTTTGTATTGTAATCACATGAGGTGTGTCGTAGTTTGTTTCTTTTGTTTTACATTCATATGCTGTTGAGTTTGTGTTTCGTTTTGGTATTTTCTTTAATTGGTGCATATATGGTGAGGTTTTTTGTATGTTACTCCAAGTGAAATTTTGTGTTTGTGTGTTATTGGCTACTTCTGAATCTGTTTCATTGTTTTGGTAAATTGGTGATGGCGTTGAGCACATAATTCATGTTGATACTGAAAAAAAATTTTCTTTCGCAGTTTCTCTTTGGAGACAGCTTTGCTTGTATTCAAAGATTGTTATCTAGTTAGCTATGTTATGAGTATTGTATGCATACTCTCCTAGGTGTCGGTTCTCCAAGTAATTGACTTTCTAGCCAAGAATTGAGTTATGTTGACTTTAGAGTGCTACTACTACAATATTAGCTTTAGGTGTCGGATGATGGTGGTGGTTTAATAAGCCATTATGTCGAATAAAAGATATCCGACACATCATTTAGTTAGTGTCGGATAACAATGAAATCCTGTCGGTTATATTCGTCAGTATTTTTGAATTCTTTTTTTTTTATAAATATTTTTAATATATTCCTGTGGTTTTTAAGTTAATGGTGGCGATTATAACCGACAGAAATTGACTATTTTATTATTTAAGTTTCTGACGGTTATTATTTTAGTATTATGGCTGTTATAACCGACAAATATTGACTATTTTATTATTTTTAAATATTATATTGATTAAAAATAAATAAATAAACACATGGTTTAAATATATTTTTAAGGGGGAATTTAACAAAATTTTGGGAGGGAATTTTACCACCATTTTTTGGCTGTCGGTTATAACCGATAGTAATGAAATTTTTTTGTCGGTTTTAACCGACAGTAATGAAAATTTTCCAAAATAAAACCCCTCAATCTCTTCCTTGGACCGGTGCCTTCTCCGTTCCCCCTTCCTTCAATGAAATCATTTCAGCTTTTTACATTTTCTCAGTCTCATTTCTCTCTTTCTCTCTCTCTAAACCTTTCTCTCAATCTTTCTCTGTGAGTTCATAGTGTCCAGCAATGGTAATTCTTCAATTCTGTTAATCTGTTATCGATAGCCATCGATTCTTCATGGGTTTTCTATTACTAAATCTTTTAGTTGATTTTTCTTGGGGGAGCTTTTCGTTGGAATCTTCGTCTTGGGTTTCATTTCTTAATTGTGTTCATCATGTTCATCGCTATATGTGCTGCTCTCTCATTTGTTTCCACTACTCTAATGGTTATGATGATGTATGATGATAAGGTTGAATATGGTGAAATCTCATGTTCTATGTTTGAAACCTTGCAACATATTATCTTTGATTCTTGATTTCTTGAGCTATTTCTTGTTAAAGATATGAGATTTTCAATATACATATATGTTACTATGAAAGTTAATTAGTAGTATTGAAACAATCAAAAGGCCAAATTGCCAATGTGATAGAGGTCAGATGCCATTGTTTGAACGCCAATTGCCAAATTTGTGAATCTTGATTGAAGTTGTGAAGGCCGATTGCCATAGATTGATTATAGTTAGAATTTGTAAGTGGAGAATACTAGTTTTCTTGTTAATCTTGAAGTGATAAGTTGGTTGTGTATGCTTGTGAATTTGTAAGTGGAGAATACTAGTTTTCTTGTTAATCTTGAAGTGGAGAATACTAGTTTTTCTGCACCATATATGCAAGGGTCTGCAAGTTCTTCCTTGGATTCTCATAATCAAACTGGTGCAGGACAAGTTCTAATTCTGCTGGTATTGACTCATCAACTGGTGGAAGAAGTCGTGTTCCTCTTGGTTCAAATAATTCAACACAACTTTCCGGTTTTCAACCCTAACAACCTCAACAACAAGCATTCTATCATTTGGCACTTGCTAATGATTTTGGATTTGATTTTGTGGGAAAGAAATGATTCAGAAAGTGGTTTACATTTTTTTTATTATTAATATATTTTCTGTCCGTTTTATCCGACAGAGAATGCTCTTATTTATTCATTATTAATAAATTCTCGGTCGGTTATATCCGACACAAGTTCTGATGGTTTTAGAGTATTTTCTGTTGGAAAATTCATTTCTTGACGCTGGCAATTCTGTCCCTTATTATATCCGCCACTGTATCCATTTTCTGTCAGATTTTGCTTAATATCCGACAGTAATATACGTTTCTTGTTGATTATCATAGCAACACTAATAAATGGTTTTGTAGTAGTGTGCCGACTTAATCTAGTGAGTTCGGTGATTGATGATTTTTAGACCTTGATGTGTTTCTTTGCTTCTTATCGGATTTGTCATATTCACAAATTCACCATTATGGTGGCTACTAAATTGGCCAAATTGGCTTGTCTAATACATAAGTCGAAGTCCTTTGATTTGAGGATCTCTTGAATGTTATCCGTAGTGTTCTCTTTGATATTTACATTATTTTTTAATGTTATAATAAAACTACTATCATTTCGCTTAAAAGAAAATTTCTATCATTGTATATAGCAGGGACAATATCAATGCTTTTAGTGGTAGACTCCAGCCAGTCCCTCTAAAACTTTAACAAATTTTTAGGTGTCAGCTAGTGTAGACAATTTTGTGTTTGATTTATTTACTATGTGACTGGAGAAATGCTAAGGAGACTCTCAAAGTGAGACTCTCTATAGACTCTCCATCACCTCATGTTTTAAGAACATTGATTTATAATGAAGGCACAAGAATTGTGCCAAAACCATGAGTTTACAGAGACTCCATGGAGAGTCCCACTTTTGAGAGGGTTTCCTTGGCATTTCTCATGTGACTGACTACAAATTCAGTCACATAATAAATGAATCAAATACAAAGTAGTATACACTAGCTGACACCTAAATATTTGTTAAGGTTTTAGAGAGACGGGATGCAACCTACCACTAATAGCATCGATATTGTCTTCGCTAAATCACTCGTGCAATTATTTTATATAAAAGACCTCGATATAATTAAAGGTAAAATTATTTGATATAAGTTTTGTGAGAAACGATGTGAGATTATTTGACTTATTCAACAAAATTTCTCCTACAACAGCCATGCAATTTGCATTTGATACTGTTTTAATCCAATTTGTTTGTGTAAATAATCTCTCTTTATTTCCTTTTCCTTTTTTCTTCCGGATGTTAATCTGTCAAATGTCTATACCGTTGTAAGTTGTAAGTTGTAATCATTTTTTTTATCCTAGTCAAAAGGACTAAGGGAGGGTGTGATTGGCTGTTTTTAGTTAAAACTTATTATCCACTTTGTTTGTAGGGCATTTTTGAGTAGTTGATCTTTGTTTTATCGCAACGTCTTTTGCAGAAAATTCTACACTAAAAAGAAGAAAAAAAGAATTATCACCTTAATATATATTAATGTAGTTTACTTCTAGTACTCTACTTTTTCACTCAGTGATTTAGTCGCTCCCCCTTTTAGCTTCTTTCTTCCTACTAGCTGACACATTGGGGAGCAAAAAAAAAAAAAAAAAAATGCATGAATCATGAGAAATCCATCAGAAGAGAAAAACCAAAAAAAATGATGTCTTTCTTGTTTGTTCTATTTGGTGAGGCCATCACTTTCAAGAATTAATCATACAAAATTATGAATTTAATCAACAACATTTGATTCTGAATGCTGGTCACAATCTCAGTCCAAAAGGTAAAAATCAAAAGCATATCCAATAATCTGCAAATGCATTGTTGTTTTCACTCTTCATATCGGACTTCATCAATAGGAAGGGATTTTAAATTTTACCCAAAAGTTGAAATTTGGTAGGGAAGTTGACAAAAATATAACCCTAAGGTTTGTGCATGACTTTGTAAAGTTTATACATTATTAGGATGCAGGCCATACACAAAACTATATATTCCAAAATGTCTTTATAAAAGTTAAGGGTTAGACGTAGAGAAGGAGAAGATTCCTGCATGGGTGAATGTTTGGTAGGACAATTAGAAACGTCAAATGGGAAAGGAAAAAGCCGTATTAACTTTTAAGATTGTCTTATTCCTTCGATTTTATGCTGGATCTTTGTGCAAAGAACATCATAAATATAAAACCCTTGGTGGTTGGCCGTGAAAAGGGCTGCCTAGAAATCACATTTGACAGCTTTTGCAAATCTTAATTTAATACCTTTCTGAGCCTTTTGAAGTTAAAAAGAGTTCTTGAAGTAGGTTTGTTGATGCGTTTTCATGTTCTTGTTTCGAGCTCAGATCTTGGTGTTTGTTCTAAACCTACCTAACTGACACCAACATGTTTTTTCATCTCATCGTAACTTCATATGTAAATTA